GGAATCAAAAGACAACTTGGGACGACATCGGCAGAGTTCACTACTGCAGCTATCAAATGTCACAATTCAGCCTAAGGCAATACTAACGACCGCTTATTCCATTATATGTGATTTGTAAACATAATGGTGTCTATTTTTGAAAGAGCAGTTCCCAAAGAATGCAAGCTGCCATGGTTATTATAGATGCATTTGATCATGGACTCCCATGGTCAGTATCAATATGCATCAAAGTATCATACACAGTGAAGTCAATGTATGGCGAAATCATCCTCATCCTCGGCATGAGGATCATCCTTGTCTTCCTGCTTTCGGTCACAGAGTTTGGTAATAAGTGATACAGGGTTGTATTCAAGAAGAACTAAGGTGAACATCCCATCAGTTCAAGGATTCCTCCTTGCATAATGGGAGTTCCACCTGTCCCTCTGTGCACCTCCTAAATCTGTTCTGGAGGTTCCACAAACACTTTGGAGATTTGTGGACAGGGCAGGACAAGGCATGCACAGAGGGAGAGAGGGAGGAAAGAAATCCTATTGTGCTAGCACAAGAATCTGAATACTGGCCACAGTGTCCCTATGGAGGTACCATTTGTGTAGCTGGATGATGGTCACACCCAATTTTGGAATAAGTCCCTATGCTGCAGGAGGCAGCACAATCAAGAGTGAAGCAAACTGTAACCGGATATAGAATATACACACTTAAAAGTAGTTGGGGAAAAGGTGAAGGGTGGAACCAGAATGACAAGTGAGAAATTGTAAGGGGAAGAAGTTGCAGTGTGCCTCCTCCAGCCCCAGGTAAGTAACTGTAAAATCTTTAGAAAGATTTGTAAATGTATACAGCAGTCAATGTATATTACCCTATCACATACACTCTGGCAGCTCACAACTCCCACCATTATAAAACTACAACCCCCAAACTAATGAAAATATAGTAGAGAGAAAAAGAAGAAACCAGAAAAAGTAACATGAGAGAGAAGGGTGTTGGGGTTGTGTTAGTGCAAATCAATAGGAACGCTCATGTTTAAAAACTGAAATAGAATCAACTTTTCTGTCAGATTAAAACAAATTGAATGTGAAAGACACTTTGGTCAAGTGATATGTGAGGGAAATGTTGGATTTTTGTGTGCAAGGATACTGGTTTATCCATCTCTGTATTGCAAAAACCATTTGTCAGAATGGGGAGAGGCAGTGAAAACATTGGACAGGTGTCTGGAGCAGTGATGGACTGGATGCGAGCCAATAAACTGAGGCTGAATCCTGATAGGATGGAAACACTTGGGTGTTTCCCACGAATCAGAATTAGGTGTATACCCTTTTTCTGGAAGATGCTGCACTCTCCCTGAAAGATCAGCCTGAGAGTGCTCCTAGCTCCCAACTTGCCTCTGAAGTCTCAACTGGCTTCTGTGGCTAGGAGTGCTGATGCCCAACTTAGGCTGGTTTGCTGGCTTTAGCCGTTCCTGGGCTGGGATAGCCTGCCATTTGTTGTCCATGCTCTAGTGACCTCCTTGGAGTACAGGTGGCGACCATTTTAGGTGTGTTCAACTGACCACGTGATGGTTGACACACAGGTTCTTTTGAACCCAAAAGGCGGCGGAATGAGGGCGGGACATGTTTATAGACACTCTGCCAACATGCACAAGGGTGGAATTCCCATGAGAAATGGTCACCACTGGTACTTGACGGTCCGGGGGCTCCAGGTGGTGCAGAATGCAACTGCTACGTTAGCATGTAGGGCAGCTGGATGGGACCATAACAGCAGCAACAACAATAACGCTACTCAAGTCGTATGTACCAAGTCATTGATCATAGCATTCCACCCTCCTACTCAGGAGAAGTGTACCAGTGAATTATAGTATTGACATCATTTCCCCTACGCATTTTAGGAAGCCAGATCGATACAGGAAGTATTCAGAGTTTCTCATAAACATCTCATTTCAAGCTCAAAGATCAAGGAGTCTACTAACTTTTAATACTAAGCTGATAGTAAAATGATGCAAATTGCTCTTAGTGAGGGCAACCAATGTGCCATTTACACAAAGAATATTGCATACATTATTTAATACCTACCCTGTTTTTCAATTACAATTCTACAAAGCTGTGACAGATAATTATTCAGAAGCTGAATAATTATCACTTTGAGGATGTCAAACATGTGGAATGAAAGCCTCCAGAAATTACTTTTATAATTCATTAGTTTATTATTTTTTTGCTACTATTCATAGTCATCAATGACCCAAGTACATGGATCCTATTGAAGTACATGGGTCTAATGATGGGTGGGGACTCAAGACAGCCTTTTCAGAAGTGGTGCTCAAGATCTGAACAGCCTCCCAAGGGACAGCCGCCTCATCCCTCTTCTGCTTTTAGATAGACAGTGAAGATCATTTTATTTCAACAAGCTTTTGTAGATTATTTCCCTCATGTTATTTCATCCTGTCAATGCCCTTTTAATCCATTTCCAAGACTGTCATGGTTTCATTTATTTCATCATTTTTTCTGACTATAGTGTCTTGAAAATCATTGTTAGAAATGCAGGACATACATGCTGAAAAATAAAGCCAAGGCAATGGGTCTCCCACGTGGTCTGTTCACAACTGTTCTTCAGAGGCATTCCATGGAGTCTCAAAGAAAGTAAAAGGAAAAGAAAACTATGAAAAAATAGGTGTCACCCTTGTTGGTCCATTGGAATATCCATTACATACTTCCAGTCATATTGGTTCAAGCAAATACTATTCCAATTGTTCGTCTCTTTCTTTCCCTTCTTGCCATTTCTCCCTTCTTGCAAAAGGGGGTGTATGGGGTGTTAGGGGAGGGGCAAGACCTGGGGGGGGAAATCATGCTCCATCTGGGGTAGTTTGTCCATCTTTGGTCCCCACCTTGCATTCAGCTCTCACCTGTGGCTCCTAGAAGCTGTCAGCACACAACCTGGAAATGGCTCTGACTGGCCGGCTAAATCAGGTGAGGGTAGTTGATGGGTCTCAAACCTTCGGTGAGTTAGGGACTTCTGCTGCATGTGAAGACAGGCTCCAGTGGATTGAGTGGACGAGACCAATAGTGGAACCAATGGTCAAGAAGGTGGGTTCTGTATGTGCTGTAGAGGGAAGTGAGGGGTAGATGGGGCTTGTCTATCTGAGAACGTAGCACATATGGGAGAAGGAAAACACCTAAACATCAGCTGCCTTGCGGGATATCTTCGGGAGAAGAAAAGTCTAAGGAGGAAACCCTAAACAAATCTGGAGTGGAGTCCCTAAGACAGTAGGATGGCATCTTGTATGTCTCTTTCTGGCAACTCCTGCAGCCAAGCTGGTGCCAAACGTATTGCTCTGCTTTCCTTTGGACCACATAAATGAGGCCGAGAGGGGAGTCTTGTTGTTCTGGCAGCCCAGGACCTCCATACATGCTGCCCACGCTTGTGCCCTGGAGAGGTCACTTTGGTGCTTTTGCAGCAGTTTGACTTCACCCTCAGGGGCGCACTCCACTATCTCGCTTGAGATACAGATGCAAACAATCACTACATATTGTATGTGTGGCAAGTTGTCCATAGGTGGTGCTATCAAACCATAGGAGTCAGGGAAAGGTGAATGAACACATAGAACAGGAATAGAAGAATTGCAACCACAAATATATAAATGACGCCACATAATGTACCGAACTATAGTATGATGCTTGGTAGTATCAAAAGGCACCAAAGTTGTGACTGAAAATGATGGTAAACCAGCAATTAAAGTACAGTATAATTACTTATATCCAGATATAGTATGACAGGAAGATTCAGACCTGAGTTAGACAAGATGCAGTGAGAATCCTAGGTCTTCCATTTCCCCTCCTTCGTTCTGCAAAAGAGCAGTAAGCCACAACAGCCAGCTTAACTAAGTACCACGTGGAAGCAAGTTGGTTTATATATGAAGGGCATCACTACATAAAAACTCACAATTCAATCAGTCACCTCTGCAGAGTTCAAACATGAGATTCTCCTGAGCATCTTTATCTGAAAGATCCAGTTATTATTCCTGCAATGTAGGTTCCCTTTGTCTTCTCACAAAATTGTGAGTTTCATTTAGAAACAAAGAGTGCAACTCTTGAACTTCATAAGGTCACAAGAGCTTCTAATTTCCCATGTCTCCTTGTAATTACTGTGAAATGCAGGCCCACAAATAGCTTACCAAATAATAAAAAGTCACAGTGCGACAAAATAGGAAAGTATACATATGAATAAGCTTTTGTAGCCATTTAACATTCTGCACTGTATCCAAATATTCTATTGTTCATTCTGGGAACAGTTTCCAAATTATACATAATTAATCAGACTAGAAAATGTCAAGTAAACAAATATATTACAATGATAAACCATTCATTAAATACTAAACAGTGGCCCTCCTTTAATACAGCAAAAAATGCCCTCCTCATTACTAATGTACCCATGAATAAAAATAATTTGCTAGGCAATCACAAAACTGATTGGCTAAGAAGAGTTAATGAAGCATCTTTCAAGACCACCACGGCCACCACCCTTTTTCTAAAAGAAAACTAAGATAGCAATGGTCTCATTCAAACGATTTGGCACCTTCTCCATCCATATAATTCATAACACAAACCACTGAATTGGAACTCAAAAAGGACAAAAGCAGTTCATTGCATTTGTTCGTTAGCAAGCATGCAAAACGGAGCATGTAACAAGACAGAGAGAACATTGTATGTAAAGTTGCTTGACCATCCTCCTTGAGGCAAATCATTTTTTCTCCAACATAAAACAAAGCCTTCTTCTTCGGACAGTTGAAATGGCTTTTAATCTCCATGCACACACTAATGCTTTCTGACGTTAGTGTGCACATTTAATTTTGTGTGTGAAGAATAAAATTGCTTTGATCAGGAAGTTTATAAGGAAACACGGCATGTGAATGACCAAAGGCTCCGACATTCCGCAAAGAGTTGAAGGGATCATCTTTTTAAGCAAACCACACAAACACACACACACACAAAAAATAGAGCAGCCTATATAATATATGGTCGACTAAGTCATTCACCAGGTTCGTAGTGAAAGTTTATTGTTCTGTTTTCTAGTACAATAAACTACAAAGTTTGTACAGTAAAAAATAACAACGGCCACAAAGCAACAATGCAATTGTAATGCTGACATTCTGCGACAGTACAGAAGAAGAAATGTCCATGGGCTCATCTTTCCACTCTACTGCACGCATAAAAGCTAGAACTACTAATTTTAACACAAAAACCTTTCACATTTAGATGCAAGCTCCATATAACTTGGGGGTGCTGGATATCACCAGGTAGAATTCCAAGGAATGCAATAGGGAAGAACACAAAAAAAATTTGAAGTTTCGAAAGAAAAGAACCGCACAACTCTCCAGAGGGCGAATGACAAGTTCCAGGTCACCCTGTGTTCAGTTCTCATCAAAGCAAACTGCCTGCAGGGAAAAGGAAACTGTTACAGAAAAGTAGTTAAGTTTTGGGGACTGTGAGAAAAAAGCAGACTGCTGTTCAGTAGTCAGGCTTTCCCTCAATTTTTTGAAGTGTGGCATTCCAATTCCCTCCAGCCACCATGTATCATATAGAGGAGACTGGACATCAAATAGACATGCACAACTGACAAGTCTATCTGTGCCCTAATGTCCAAATTATTATCGAGCGGAGAACGCTATTATTGTTCATTCTTTAGGTCCTTCTCAAAAACTCACCAAGACACAGGAGCTCTTACCTCATAGGCAGAAAAATTCTGCGTCAGATGTACTTTGTGCGATTGAGGGCTCTCTCAGCAAAATGACCACTTTCATCGGTGATTTTCTCCCAATCCGTTTGTCCCACCACAAAACCAATGGCCCTCTTTCTGTCTGCATCCTTTTTTTCTTCAAGGTCTGCCCATCTTACCTACGAAGAACACAGCATTGGGATGATACTCAGTTCCAGAAAACGAAGCGAGACATTTTTGCCAGTACTACGGTTTTGCGCTCAGCGAAGGCTTCAGACAACTTAGAAAAAGGGAAGGCAACTTTACTGGTTCAGCATTCTAGAATGCTCAAAGATTTGCGACCCTCACAAGTTTGCAAGTAGAATTTATTTAGTGTCATATTTATTTATTAAATTTAGATCCCACATCTTCTTCCGAAGAGCATAGGAACTAGTGCTCTGAATGTGCAAAGCAGGGAGCCTTTCACGAAGATTTTTGCCCCCTCTTCAGCAGATGTGAAACTGTTCACAAGGAATTCGCTGGGGGAAAAGAGTGAACCTGTCCCAGTTGCCGAGACAAGAGAGATGACATTCCTTGGCTCGGCTCCATTTGCGTTTAGTTTAGTAGTTGAGCAGGAAGGGGATATGTATAAAGATGCACAACCAAATGTGTGCCTTACTACTATAAGGGAGTGCAGATGTGATTCTTCCATTTGCATGGCATTACTTTCAGTGGGATGCATGGGACAAGGAAACTGCCAGCGCACTGTAGCAAGTTGTCCAGGCAATGAGGATGTGCTCCCTTCCCACCACAATGGATGCAGGTGCGAAAGTGAAAGCATATGTGGAAAGAAGTGCAGGGTTTTTCCCTGTGTCCTCTCTCAACACCCCCTTCCAATGTTTGGTACAAAAAAATCAAACATCATTACAATTTGGCCTAGCACTAAGTGGAACCAATCATTCTTCAGGGAACCTCCATATTTTCCATTTCCCTAGTTATTTACTGTTTCCTCATCTTCTTACTAAGTAGCCTCTGCTTCCTTTAGCTATAAATGCGTACAACTAAGCTTTGCTATCTCCCCTGTTTTTACAGGAGCATGACAAGATACGGATTTTTAGAAGAAATTTTCAGAAAGAGAAACTGAATCTAATGGACATTAAAATGAAAGCAATGGCCCCACAGTGCTTACAAACATAGATTAGCTGAACCAAACATATAGTTCATGCTTTATGGAAAACCTTCTGGGTGAGACCCTCTGAGACATTAAACCAAAATTACTTTATTACCCTCTTCTTTCCAGGTTCAGAAGCACGGGTATCATAATCATCTGGAAGCTGAAGATAATCTTCCATTCTGCTGGCAATTGCTTCCCAATCACGCTTCCTCTTAGCACCAGTTCGCAAGCCATCCAATTTGTCTGAGAACAAACATACAGCCTCAGGGTTAAAGGGGAAAAGCACACTTGTGTAATGCCCAATACAAACAAGATGCATGGGAATGCTTTCAGAAGGGCAAGCTGCTATCTTATAGCAGTGGTATATGCAAGTTCTTGGGTGTCTTCATGAGTAAAATGGCAAAACCCATTGTCACTTTTTTGAAGCATCAATCTGTGATGATCCGGGAGAAAAATTTGTGCTGGATAATCATACAACAGGCCATATAATGTAGCGATACTTGAACATGTTTTTGAAAATGATACAAATTTAAATACTAAAGGAAGTTTTTAATTCCTTGTGTTATGCCAACGCTGTGGCAAATGCGTACCAGTGCACCTGCCAGATATCTACATTTATTTTTGAAAGACTATAAGACGGCTTTTGAACTGCCTGTGTTGGAGTCAAGGACATTTGACTTGTGGTGCAGAGCACCAGCCATAAAAGGAATAAACCCACAAGCAGTTTCTCACTTTCTTCCTTTGCTTGAACAGATATGACTGTCCTCATGTGAAGTTCAGTATTACTGTTCTAATAAACTTTTGGTGTGGTCAAGTTTTTCTGAACATTAATCTTTAAAAATGTGTATTATTAGGAAGCAGTTGCTACTGCAGAGAAGCAAACTGGTATGAATAGGTGAAATTTGTGTCAGAGCTCACAAATATTTTCTATATGCATAATTTGCCCCCCCCCCGGTTCATAATGTACTACACAATTCAAATAATGTACTACACAATTTAAAATTATTTATACCAATCTATTTTAAGTGTACAACAGTATGTTTAATGCTATAGGTTTTCTAAATGGTTCCCAGAGATTGCTATTAAAAATTAGCAAACCCCAAACTATCTGTTTGTAGACAGAGCCTTGCCTTGCCTATTTGCCAGAAAGCAGAAAATATCAATTTAAAGAACTGCAAAAATTAGCTTATTTATTAATCCAGTGAACCAAAGAAGCAGCTATATCTAATTTAACATCAAATTACAAAAGAATTTTCTGTAAATTAGAACAAAAATGTTAAGTATTAAATAAATTCCATTCAAATAATCTAAACGCCATTTTTCTATTTTTGCTGGAACTACTTCAAGCCTGAATGATGATAAATGCTATAAAATTTACTCAATATTATATTATATTATATTTATCTACTATTTAGCTACACTTATTTTAACCTATTTTTAAAAGTTAAACATGCTAACTATATCCAATTAAAAATGGCAGTTACAGCTCCAAAGATACCATCTGCCAATAGTCAGATATAAGTATTGTTAACATTCTGCAATAATAGAAGTGTTTTGAAATCTGAGTGTTATGCACAACATTGCTCAGGAAAAAAAACATTTTCTATTGAAGAGTTTAGAATCATGAATAGCAACAATTAATGTATAAATGCCATGTTAGCAGATATCTTTACATATTCTTTTAAGATTATAAGATATGAAGTTGGAACTTGTAGAAAAGAGGGCCAGGAGCCAAAATGTGCTTGTGTATATGTTGCAGATTTTTCTTTCCATATGTCATTCTTCAATGCTGCATAAAAATATGTTCCAGAACATTACCCCATCTTCAAAGCAACATTGGGGGCTACAGGAGGGGAGAAAATCACTGCTGCTCATGCAGCTCCTTGGACACTGAGCCAGGAATCAAATTGTTCTGAATGAAAGCATAAACTGGCATATCTGATCATCAACATAGAAGAGTTTATTCCCTCATTCAGGTGGGATATGAATGATGTATGCAATAGAAAAGTGTGAAAGAGGTACTGAACAAAAAGTCCTTGTTCATTTAGCGACCTGTTTCATAATATTTCGTTCCTTTTCACGGTGTATTTTTAAAATGTGATGTAATTTTAAAAGGTATTATGGCACAATTTCTCCTGCTTATTTCCAATATGGAAGCCCTTCAAGCTTCTGATCAAATGCCATTCACACTGATATGGCTGTATTTTTTTCTGACCATGATGCGTATGCCTTATACAAATATGCTATGGTGAGTAAACGTCTGCTTAAGCTTTTTTCTGTAGTTATTCCACAAGCACATCCATGGTACACTGAGGATTCCAATCACTGAGGTTTTTTCACTGCTTTAGTGACCTCGTTGCATTGTTATATGTGTGGTGTTCTTTCTGTTGCCTGCATTTAACTTCCTTGTAAAATAAATTTCCACGAGGAAAGAAAAAAGTGATGTGAACCTAAAACTCTGCAAAATTCAACAAATACTTACCTCAATAAACATAAAATAAACAAAGAACAGCTTAAGATATAAGGTGCCAATAGTGATAGCCATTTCACATTGTTTTTATAAAACGAACATTAGATCTATGTTTTCCATGAAGTTTGATTTGGTACCAAAATCATGTGGAAAAAAATGAATGAAAAGAGTCACTGCAAATGTGAAGTTGTCAGATGGACTCATGATCACTTAGCAGCAGTTACATTTTTAGCTGAGGTAATAATTCATTTGCAAGCAGGTATGCAAGGAAATTTCAGGTACATAGTATTCAGACGAATGCCAATGCAGCATTTTATGTTATAGGCAACATTTACTACAATAAAAGGTTTAGCGTTTTACATACATCTACGAATCAGGAATCTAACACAGTGGCATTTCACTGAGGTTTATGAGGGAACACTCACAGGGGCAAACATTTGGATCAGATCGCAACATTCAACAGCATTTTGTTTCAGAGCAACTTGGGATGATGAGCAGTATTCTTACACTACCTAAATGATTTTCTAAGTTGCCCTCGTAAAATAACTTTCACCAGGAGGGATGGGAGGTGGGTATGTCAACTATGAATATCACTGGCCATGGTACTTCTGGTATGGTAAGTTGGAAATGGGAGGGACTGTGCTTCTGTTCCTATGTGACCAATCAGTTCCGAAAGGTACTCTGCTCCATGGAATTTATGCTCCAAAAATATCCATCTTGACTTCCTTGCTGTGTAATGTGCGTCTGAAATGACTGAAAAAGGTCACCTGCAGACCTGGTCTGAATTGCTATCAGTATTAACATTTGACACACGATTCTCTTTCCATCCACATCAAAATGGACTACAGAAGCTCTGAACATGTGTTTGAAATTGGGAAAGAGGTTGGAAAAATAAAGATAGACCTTCTGATTAGCTTTAATCAGATGAAAGGTTAAACATTCTTTATGCCAGAGTGGTCAACCAGACACTTCAGGGAATCCCACCAGAATGGCATGAGGCCAATAGCCCTCCCCTCCACCTGTTGCTGGTACCCAGGAACTGGTAGTTAGAAACACTGCCAAGTAAGACTGAAGTACTGTTGGCTGGTGATGTAGTTGAGCAAGAAAGGATTTGGACAGTTCTTGGTGGGCTTGCATTCACCCTAAAGGATTGGGTTTGCAGCCTGGTGTTGTTAGGTCTGGTCTTGCAGATAACTTGAGTACCCTTCATGGCTCATAGCACCTTTTAGGCAACCTCACTTGGTACACAAACCGTGGTCAATTTTTGAAAAACAAGACCTGCATGCCTTGATAACCTCCAGATTAGATCAGTGCTATTTGCTTTAAGTGAGATATCCTTTCAAGATCATCCAGAAACTTCAAATAATTTAGAACAAAGTGGCAAGTCTTACCTAGAACCGATAAGACTGATAGAAGGAACATTCTCAACAGCACTTAAAGAGGTTTCCTGTCTACCAATTTGTTTCTAGACACAATTCATGATGCTGGCTCTAATTTATAGAGCTCTAAATCATTGGCTTGGGGCCAGGTTAGCTGAAAAACCACCTTTTCCCTAACAAACCTGCCCAGTTATTGTCTTCACAGGTTCTACTAAGCATGCCCCTACCTTTGAGTGACATGGAGGGCAACAAAGGCTGGTGCCTTCTGGCTCATTGCCCCATCTGTAGAGCTCCCTCTAATGTCCATTTGCTTAGTACCCTCCTTCGACCATTTTCAAGATGCCAGCTAAAGGCATTGGCTCTTTGCACACCCTTTATTACCTTTGTTTTCACGGCTGTCTTAAAACTGCTTTGAGAGATGGTTAAAATTGCTTCTAACCCCCACCGCCCCAATTGCCGACAGTTATGTTTTGACAATGGACTGAATTCTTTATTTACACGAATTTCAATACCCTTGGAAGCTGCTTCAAATCAAAGCTGAGAGCTGAAACACTAACATTTTAAAAGTAAATTAATGTAGGACTCTTCCTTATGTAAAAAATGTTACTGCTGGAGGTTTTACATACAATGTTCTTATGAGACTATTGGTTTGTTTAACAACAGTCAGATAAAGACAAATAGTGCCTCTACAGTGAGTATGTGACCCTAACAATTATCAGTTCATGAACTTATCTACACACACCTCATTCAGCGTCCACCCAACCATAAGGGCAACACGGTAAGACAGATGTCTCCTACCATTTGCTACAGAGCAATAGTTAGAAATTACAGGAACCCCCAGGTACAGAGTAAGCAAGGGATGTTTCCTATATAATTCTGCCATTTCCTCCCCACTGAATGTAGTATGCACATTTGAATGTATTCTATGCAAATCACGATGTACTGCTATCTCCTGCTTCGGCACCTCCAGAATTACCATCAGAAACCTTGGCCACCAGTTCCAAGTCACGAAATATCTAATTTAACCTAATGGACTGAAAAGCTTATGAAACTACTATAATACTGAGACGATAGTAAGGAACACTCTCTGAACTTGAACAGGGACTGAACATGTAAAAACTCTCAATTATGCGTTTGTATATAAAATTAACTGCTGAATGCAAAAGGGAAAACTTCCTATAGTTACTATAGTTAGTCAGATATACAAGAGAATATGAGGTCAAAACGCACACACTCCCATAAGAAAATCATGTACCGTAACTACTTACGAACTATGTTAAATCCATCAAGATTTTACACTATGCAGGTATGACAAAATATGACACTGAATTAGAGACAGTAATATATACATTTCTTGCATGTGAAGACTTTATTGGGGAGATTCTTTTCAACTACTTAGCTCTCCAGCATGAGATTTTGGCTGATATTAGGAATTTACGATGCTCTTTTGAGATTTCAATAGCACATCCAACAGAACTTAGCAGCAGAAAAGGTGCCACAACTGAAAAGGCTATTTTATGCAAATAGCACAAGCAGTGAAATAGTCTCTTTATACTGCACCCAAACACTGCGTATGAGCGTATACACTGTGTGTGTATGTATTGTGAGCCTGCACCAATATTCAAATTCAAACTCTCAAGGGTCACCACACATACGTTGTTTTCCAGCTTATGCTACATACTCTCAATGTAATCCAAAGCAGAGTGATAGCTTCTCAGATAGCATGTTCAATTAATCAATTCTAAATTGATTATGGAAAGCCCTTTCCTCTGTTGTATGATTGACACCAACCCAGACTGATATAGATATCTGCTCTGCAGTTTAATATAGATAATTTTATTTACTGTTTCAGATGATTTTTTAACTTTAGTATTGCCATTGTGTATTACATTGACTTTTACAGCACTGAGACTGCTGTAATAAAGGGCAGGTTATCAGTGCTTTAAATACATAGACAAATGCTGAATACGCCTGCAGTACCTAAAATCCCGGAAGTTAAAGGTACAATGGAACCTCGGAAGCCGAACGTAATCTGCTCTGGAAGGACGTTCGACTTCCGAAACATTCAAATTCAGAGGCACGGCTTCCAGCTAGGCTTTTTGCAGATTAGAAGTCAAACGTTCAGATTCCGAGGAATGTTTGAAAACCAGAACATTTACTTCCGGGCTTTTGACGTTCGGGAGCCGAAATGTTCGGGAATGAAGTGGTTTACAATGAAGGGAATGGAGTACTTTATTAGTATTTTGTCCAGCAAAGCTTTCAAGACTGATGCTGGAAAGCAGCACTAATGGTGTAATTCAATCTGTTTAACAGAGAAACTGAAAAGTAATGGGAGTTCCTTTATGCCAACATATATCGTATTGTTCGGCATTACGTATATATTATTTCTTTGATTATTTCTTTCACAAATGTGCTAATAAAATTGATTTCAATGGTCAAGCCAACTTCCTTTTGAATAAAGTTTATTCCTAAGATGGTTGAAAACAAACGTAAGACAGAAACAAGATGAAGTATGGGCTTCATATCTTCAGTCAGAAGTATTGAGGCTTAATTACCGTATTTTTCGCTCTATAAGATGCACCAGACCATAAGACGCACCTAGTTTTTGGAGGAGGAAAACAAGAAAAAAAATATTCTGAATCTCAGAAGCTAGACGAGCAAGAGGGATTGCTGCGCAGTGAAAGCATCAATCCCTCTTGCTGTTCTGGCTCATTCACTCCATAAGACGCACACACATTTCCCCTTACTTTTTAGGAGGGAAAAAGTGAGTCTTATAGAGCAAAAAATACGGTACATGTAAAGAATGAACTGACACTTGATGTCATCACAAGTTGACCAAACTTTCTAGTAACAGTACTTAGACATGCTCGTGGTCATTTGTTGTTCCCAACTATGCTAAAGCAAAGCATAATGCCGAACAACGTATGAAAACTAATCCGTTTAATATAAATGCCCTGTGAATAAAATTATAGTGTAAAGAAGAATATAAATTGATTCTATTATCCTCAGCAGGAAATGCAAATACAACTCACTTATTTGAATGCTAGAATAAAAGTAACTGCATCACGCAAACCACACAAAAAGTTAAAGGATTTGATTATTTGTACCTTTTCCAACAATAAAAGGTAAGTGCATATTACACAGCTCAGAGATATTTGTATTTTCAGAAATGGCATACTCAATTCATATCATTTTGCCTTAGGCAAGTGTTCAGAGCTGCAAACAAGAGATGCGCAAATACTGTCATATATATTTTACTTGGAAAAAAGAAATGAAATACCCACCTAGTTTCGCTTCAGAAGTATCCATCTCCCATTTGCTTTTCGGAATGTAACCCTAAATCATATACAGAGAGAAGCTCGAAGGATTAGAGAGAGATAAGAGACATAACATACATTTTAATTGGCAAAAGCATTATACTGTAAACATTTCCTTAGGGCTACCTGAATGAGAACTGTGAATGGGAAGAATGTTTTTTTAAAATGCAAACTACTGCAAACAAAATCATAATTCCATCATATCCAGTGCAAGATATCACTCTCAGTAAATAAAGGGCTCCTGAGTCAGTTTACAGCAACAACAGTAGAAACACGTATTACATATTTCTCAACGTGGCATGATCTGAAGTATATTTGCGACAAGTCACAGAGACCCATGCACATCATGGCTCTCCAGATTTCCCCAACTCTGTGTGCTGCATCATAATGCCCTAATTTTTGGGAGGGGGAGAGGGTGTAGCAGGAAGGAGGCTTAAGAGGTTCTAGGGTTTGAGTAAAGAGTTTTACCCATTGTTATTTGCATTCTTTCCAGAGTATTTTACACAAACATAGGACAAATTATTTATTCCGAAATAGGTATCTTTTTTCAACTGTACAGAAGAATTCTGCAATTTGTGTTCCGACTACACAGTGTATTTTTATTAAACAATTTTATAACGGCACAAATATTTAATATGAGAGAACATAAAAATGCCGTGCAAATCCGGTTTTATTCCTTTGGCTAGCTTTAGATAATATTTTATATATGAAGATATCTCCATATGCTCAGCTTGAGTTTGATGATGTTTCTGTTATATAGTGCTAGTCACAGATGTAATGCCAAGTGTAATGTGTGAACTTATAAACAAGTCCGATTCCGATCCAACGGAGCATGTCTGAAGTACTTCATGAGTAACTTGCTTTTTCAAAAATAAGAAGAAATCCCATCAACCAGCTATTTGGTAGCAAATGAGACTGAATACAGTGCTTGTTCTTTCTCCTGAGCAGCTGACACTATTTCAGCTTTGTAAAGAAAACAATGTTTATGCAGCCCGGGCTGCTGGATTGGAAAGTGGTACTGAGAGAGAAACACATGTTTTGTGAACAAGACTGCCCCATTCAGCTATCCACACACATGCACGGACCCTAAGTGGATCAAAGTTAAAGTCTGTAATAACAAGACTTTGAGCCAGTGTGGTGTAGTGGTTAAGAACGGTAGTCTCGTAATCTGGGGAACCAGGTTTGATTCCCCGCTCCTCCACATGCAGCTGCTGGGTGACCTTGGGCCAGTCACACTTCTTTGAAGTCTCTCAGCCCCACTCACCTCACAGAGTGTTTGTTGTGGGGGAGGAAGGGAAAGGAGATTGTTAGCCGCTTTGAGACTCCTGAAGGGGAGTGAAAGGCGGGATATCAAATCCAAATCCAAACAAAAGTACAACCCTAACAATCATTCTTTGTTAAGATTTTATGTGAACGGTGTGTCTCAACTGAATATAACAAACATTTAACTTCATCCAGATAGGACAGATGTACAGTTAGATGGTAGAAAACCTGATCTAGAAGCAGATGTACAACCTGTTTTGGATGTACTCTGCATTCCTTTTGATGAATCAGGTTTGTAGCATGAAGAATGCTCCTTGATCCAGTGCTGATTTTCAAGGTTGTGACTTGGGAGTGTCTTTTACCTGCTTAGGTTGTTATACCAGCTGCTACCTTCCCTGGAAAATTCACATCTGGTTGTAGTCATTTATGCACCACAAAACTTTGTAACCCGCGCTACATGGGGTTGCCCTTGAAAAGTGTCCCAAGACTTTAAATAGTGCAAAATACCACAGCCAGGTTGCCAGCAGGAATGAGTCAGTCAGAGCATATTATTCCAAGTATTGGTTGATCTGCATTGTCTGCTGACTGGTTTCCAAATTCAGTTCAAGGTGTTTGTTCTTACCTTTAAAGCCCTACACATCTTGGGCCCTATGTAACTTAAAGGCCAATGTATCTCTGGTAAGTACTACCTCAAGCGCCTGCACAATGCAAAGTTTGACGGTTGATGGGTAACGAGTTTGGTGGATGTCCTCTAGGAACAGAGAATTTTTAGTAGTACTGCTAGTTCTATGAAATGCTCTCCCCAGAAAGAATCACCTAGCCCCAAAATGGTATGCCTCCAGGTGCTAGTCAAAAACTTGACTCTTTGGGAAGACGTTTGGAGCCCGGTGATTCTGTTCTCTCATGTATGAGTTATTCCATAGTCCCGTGTTTCCACTCAAATGACCATGTTGTCTATTTTTGTTCTGCCACTGTGTACTTTTGCTTTGGTTTTTACTGTGCTCTTTCTGTTGACCATGTTGCTACCTGTCTGGATTATTTATATAATAAAGCATGATATAAATATTTTAAATAAACAAACCTTGTAAACCCTTATAGGTAGTTCAGTTCATATCAATCCAAAGAATGAGTCTGAATTCCATAAGTACATTTAGTTTCCTCATTTTAGAAATTCAGGAGTTTACTGCTTCTGTGAGAATGTTATTAATCTGATCCTTAGTTCAAACCATGAAAAGCAAACAACAGAGGCTGGAGACAGAAGTGAAAAAAGGCAGAGGAGGAACTCTTTCTTCTTCTGATAGCCCCACAACTGCTCTTCTCATTCCTTCCCCACCCACCCTTTTGAAATACTGCCCCGGTTGTTGCTTTTCCTTACAAAACAAATTGAGGGAAATGTACCCAAAATTTTGTATAGTGTGTAACTTGGCCCTCACTTCTGCTATAAAGAAATGGCATAACACCAATGGAGTAATTCCGATTTCAAGAATGAAAAGCAAAGAACCTCTCAAATTGGCGCAATATCCCTATGTATTTAGAATATTTCCCAGCTATTAGCCATTGGGCCAAATTTCTTCAAGCTGTTTTCAATGGCGCTGAACCTTACCTGTGAGTTCTGCTCACAAAATGGGGCTTCCCTCTCCACCGCAACCTTCTGCACACCCAGAAAAGCAGTTCCTGAGGGTTTGGAGACCCTCTGGAAGGGCATGAAATAAGCATGGGAAGGCTGCAATGGGAAGGGAGAAGTGCTGAACATATTTGGTATCTTCCCTTGTGTAAGGAGAAGTACCTTTTGCTTGGCATCTTTGGGTCCAAACCATTGTCATAGTGGATCAGAAAATGTGGATCAAGAAGTGGTGAAATAAAAGAAAGTGCACAGTAAGAATAAATGGAGTGTTATTCTAATGGAGGGCTGTAGAAAGTAGAGTCTCTCGAGATTTGGTATTGGGACAGGCACTTTTTAACAATGTAGAATTAGGGGAGAGAAGTGAGGAGGCCAAGTTTGCTGATGTTCACAGGCATTAAAACAAAAGGAGATTGTGAAGAGCTCTGAAAGGACCTCTCCAAACTGTGATAATGGACGACTAAAATGGCAAATGCATTTTAATGTAAAGAAGAGTAAAGTGATACACGTCGGTGCAAAAAATATAAATCTCACGTATATGTTCAAGCGGTCTGAACTAGTGTTGACTGACCAGGAAGAAGACCTTGGGGTCGTAGTGCACAGCTCGATGGATATGTGAATATGTTGACCCAGTGTGCAGCAGCTGTGAAAAAGGCAAATTCCATGCTTCGGATCGTTAGGAAAGGAACTGAAAATAAAATTGCCGATATCATAATGCCATTTCACAAATCTATAGTGCGACCGCATTTGGAATACCGTGTGCCTTTCTGGTTGCCTATCCTCAAAAAAGATATTGTAGAATTGGAGAAGGTTCAGGAAAGGGCAACCAAAATGGTAAAGGGGGTGGAGCATCTCCCCTGTGAGAGAAGGTTAAAAACATTTCAGGCTCTTTGGTTTAGAGAAAAGCTGAGCCAGAGGCAACATGACAGAAGTGCATTATGCCATGTACGCTATGGAGAAAGCAGATAATTCCCCCCTCTCTCTCATAGCAACAGAATCCATCCAACGAAGCTGAATGTTTCGAGATTCAGGAAAAATAAAAGGAAGTACTTCTTCACATAGTACACAAATTATGGAATTCTATCCATAAGAGGCAGTGATGGCCACCAACTTCAGGAGAGAGGCTTTAAAAGAGAATTAGACAAATGCCATCAAGGGCTACTGACCCTTGTTGTGTCCACTGTCAGAGGAAGTATGCTTCTGAATAGCAGCTGCTTAAGTGCTGTTGCTGGGGGAAGGTCCAGGACGCTGGTGACTCTCCTTTGCCAAGGTCGTAAGTCAGTCTTCAGCTAACAAGCTTTGGTATTTGTCCATCCACCTGATGTTTGAAGATCTTCAGGAACAATGGCAACCTCCAGACCGGTCCTCTCAGTCCTCACTGAGTCAGCAGAAAACAACGCCCCAAAGACTAAACCAGAGGCATCAATGACTACATATTTATGAACCGTTCTCAATAAACCTAACTTTTAATTTAACAGTATAAACCACATTTGTGTGGATTTTTAATAGCTGCTATCCTTCATCCTAATAGTTGTTTCTGATTAACATTCAGAAGAGGATTATTGGGAAACAGTCAGGAATAGGCTACCCTCCTGAGGAAGGCAACATCCTCATGGTCTTTTACATGGTCTGTAAAAGATCTGTGTCCCCCCCCCCCACAAAAAAATCTACCTAATGGTGCTGGATCTGAAGACTTTTAAACAAGAGAACTCAGTGGCTATACCAGATGAACAGACTTTGAGCATCTGAAGCTCTTACACCTTCTGAGGTAAATACTGAATACTCTATGAACATCAAGTCAAAACCATTGCTCTTTGAGTTGGAGTATATTATCCAAATAGTTCACCTTGCATATGCATTTAGAGTTCCAAGCTCCAGCTTAATAGGAAGCTTAACCAACAGTCCACTTTTGTACAAAGCCTTACAACTGAAATTAAGACAGCAAAAATACAATGACGAAGTACTACAAATAGAAATCATTGATTCTAAAACGTGGAAACGTCCTTGTGTCCTCATATAATTCACAATGGACTTCCCCACAAGCAGTAATACTATAAATATGTCACCCTCAAAATATGTAATAATAATAATAATTATGTATCAACTATATATCTGATACACTCATTTTATAACCCTTTAAAATGGTTATATTCCTGTTTGGGTTCTGTAAACAAAAAATGATTTAAAATAAAACTCAAATACAATACTGTAAACGTTCTATCCTTTCAAAAATAAAAATTTGAAAAGTAAATAAACAATTTACCAACTTGAAACATGTCACTAACAAGCTTCTAAAAATGGCTCTTGGCCCAATATACCAGGGAGGAATTAGGAGTTCTGAATATATATGCATTGTGAAGCATTTTGATTATATCACAACTTAAATGTATCCACTATCATAAAGTTTCACTCATTTGAGACATGGAATTATATCTCGTCGTATGTTTAACCTCCAGTATCTTTGTCTTCCAGGTTACCCAGACTTTTATTCTTGCCATCAGCAGAATTTCCAAAGATCTTAGGAGCCAGTTGCTGGATGCTTTGAGAGATATCAAAATGTTAGCAGTCATTGCTGGGGCATCTCCTTTCATCTCTAGCTACTGCCGCTCAACTTCCAGGCAGATCAGCAAAGCCAACTGAATTCCAGATGCTGGGATTTGGCTGTTTGCGGCGCATATATACATATACATGTTGTTGTTGTTTAGTCGTTTAGTCGTGTCTGACTCTTCGTGACCCCATGGACCAGAGCACGCCAGGCACTCCTGTCTTCCACTGCCTCCCGCAGTTTGGTCAAACTCATGCCGGTAGCTTCGAGAAGACCGTCCAACCATCTCGTCCTCTGTCGTTCCCTTCTCCTTATGCCCTCCATCTTTCCCAACATCAGGGTCTCTTCCAGGTAGTCTTCTCTTCTCGTGAGGTGGCCAAAGTATTGGAGCCTCAGCTTCACGATCTGTCCTTCCAGTGAGCACTCAGGACTGATTTCCATATACATATACGTATACATATACATATATATATGTGTGTGTGCGAGAGAGAGAAAGAGAATAATCAAAGAAACATGGTTTCCATAAAACAGTCAGGATCACCTCAGCTTTGCTTGTTCAAATTATTGTCACCAAAAAGCAGGAATATGTATCGAAGTCCAAAGAGGTCTTTCCACTGGCATGATGCTCGTAGCTTCCAGCTGGTTTTTCCAGTACCTTGAGTAACTGTTTTACCTTGATACTGGTTATTTCTTTGTCAGAGATGCATCAATTATTTCTTGACATGTCTCTGAATACAGCACCTTCTCATGGTTCAATTATACATGAACCTCAGAAATTTCATAAGTAAGCTGCAGAACCCAAGAATGGTCAAAATCAACTGATGCATGGCACTTTGTCTTCTTCAGGAACTTCAATTCAGAATTCTTTTTGGGGTGAACTGGTTCAGGATCTTGAAGTTCAGAAAGTGTTAATTGTGCCCTATTATCACTGAAGGGGAAGTAAGGTACCAGTGGAACTTCCTTGATGAGTTGTTCAACAGTGGAATGTTAAGACCTGTAAGTGCTGTTCAACAGTCAAAATGACTACCTTCCATATCTCAGAAGCAAGCAATGGCACCAAAAGCTTAACTGGATTTCTTCTTTTTTAGTGGGGAGGCTTGGCCTGGTTAGGAAAAACAGGACAAATCTGGCACAATACACACAATCCAACTGTTCTCTCTCTCGGACATCTTGGCTGGGGATTGCGCATTGCCATATGCTGTAGAAGAGCTGTAGCAACAACCCACTTCCCACAGGCAACAGATTCTGTGTTGGGCTGTTGTCCGATTTCTTCCTGACTTTGGTGTTGCATTAGAAAAAAGGGCCTATCTGGTTGTCAGCTTCTTAACCAAGCAATCTTGGGTCTTCTAGCTTCCTTTAAGCCATTAAACATGTAATCTCCACTCACGCAGAGCAAAGGAAACAACAACCTCCCTTTGGCTATGAGCCTTACGTTCCAATGTTCCATTCCATTGGAACACGTAATGCTGGTGGTCAACAAAAGAGGTTTAAAGACTCTCTCAAGGCAAATCTAAAAAAATGTGGTATAAACACCAACAACTCGGAAACACTGGCCTGTGAGCGCTCCAACTGGAGAACAGCTTTTACCACAGGTGTCATGGGCGTTGAAGACTGTCAAACTCAGGACAAAAGGGAGAAAGGTGCATAGAGGAAGGCACGCTTGGCAAACCCTCACCATGATCAACTCTAGTCCGGAAACCTATGTCCCCACTGTGGAAGGACGTGTGGATCCAGAATTGGCCTCCACAGTCACTTACTGTTACTCACTGTTAAAACCTTGTTTATGGAAGGCAATTTTACTTGGCTACGAGTGATCACCAAAGAAGAAGTTGTTCAAATGCTTCAGCCATAAGTTTCTACAGAACACACTGCCCAACATGGAACATGAAGAAAACTATCCTTATCTGCCACAGTAAAGTTATGTAGGTCCTCCCACAAGTGCTTATGACCAGTCTCAGTGAAGGTTTTTCCCGGCTTGAACTATTTCATTCCCATCTTTAAGAGCTTTTAACCTCAGGTGATAGAGAGTGACATATACGCTTCTGGTAGAAACATTCAGTACTACCACAGTCTTTTATGGCACAGTCTACAGCAGAGATTGCAGGGGACTGTTCATGCCCTTTTAAAGTATCTGAGAGACTCATGCACTTGAACAGCAATGACATGAGGAACATCTCTCAGATCTCTTAGAAGATAGTCTTACCATTTGAATTCCAGTTGATTTCCAGCTGGAAATTTTGGTCACCTGGGACCATGCCCTGATGTGCCTGTGGAATATACTATCTGCATTTCGCCTAAAATGGCTACTACTCCAAAAGCAGTCTCCATGCTAGGCCAAAAAGAATAAAAAGAGCATGTCTGTGGAATTATCCTGCCCTTCAACCAAGGTGCTAGCAGGATGTGAAGATGGAAAGAGGAGTATAGAATCCAAGAAAGGATCGTTAGTGCTGTGTTTCAGCATATCCTAACATTTTCTACTTTGTAGTCCCCTTCAAGAGGAAAGAGAGTGAAAGATGAAGATCAATGTCCCCCTCTCAGTCATCAGTGACTACATTAATGATGTGTCTTGCCTCTGCATCAGAGTTCCAGAGGAGTTCTGTTCTCCATTCAGATGCAGTATTGAAAGTACTTTGTTGCAGGAATGTCACGTTTAAAGAGTTCTGCTTTTTGGAGTTGGGAGAACTCTTTGCTGACTGCTCTCTTATCAGCTGAATGAGAAGGAAATATTTTACTTAAGATCTTCAAAGGCTGAAATCCTGTAGTGGGGGCTTGCTTCTGAATAAACAAGCACAGGATTTCAATCCAAGAGCTATTTCTTATAGCTAGAAAAAGTTTAGTTAAGAACAATTCTTCAGAAAACAGCAAAACGAAACTAACAATCTGAACATCTCTTTCTACATTCAAGATTTCAAAGAAAATTTCTCCATTCTAAAATAATGAAGTATAAATCCAGAACTCCCATATTGTTGGAAATGGTATCAGCCAGGGGGAGGGGATTTGGATTTTAGTGCAGACAGAATCCCTGTTAGGCACTGTAATAAGATAAATTTGTTGATGGGGTTGGGCTGATGTGTTTCCTACCAGTTCACTCTCTTCTTCCTCTGCATCTTTTTTGTTTTCTTCTTTCTGATCTTCAATGTTTGCATCAAAATCCTCCATCTCCACCTAAGCCAAGGTACAATTTGAAAACTACACATTACCTGTTTGTTAGAGATGTTGCAGCACTAACTTTGTACTTAAATAAGAGAGACTCATTTTTTTGAATCAAAGATATGTATATACTATATAAGTAAGATTTATCTTTTCTTCAGAATTGTACTGTATTTATTTATTCTTTTATTTCTCACCTCGGAAATTGATGAGAAATTTGCAACTTGCTTTTCTGTTCCACACACGATCTTTAATATTGATAACTTTACATTACAATACTTCTCTTTCTCTCCACATATATGCAAATAGGTTGCTTTTAAAAAAACTCAAAATGTACACATTCCTATGCTTTCTTACAGTGGCAGACAACTTAAAAAGTCTTGAGCAGATGACTTTCTTCAGACACTTGTTATGCCTGTATTAAGTGTGAAAATGTGTATTTGTACCCATAGTATACTGTATAGGATCCTAAGTCACTGACCCATATAATTACAGTAATCTCTTTCAGAAAGCTAAGATATTTACTCAAGAGTGAAAGAGAGAAAGTACTTTATGGAATGATATCAGTCAAACCACTATGTTTTGCTGTGTGTTTCCTCATGGGAGTCCTGTGGCAGCCTCGGGAGTGTACAATTCTTCCAGATGTCTACTACTTTTCAGTTTAAGATTTCACTAAACAATGAATCTGTAGTCAAATCCTGTACCTGCTTTCTACTTTAATAACTATTCATCTTTTCTATAGCCATGAATAACATATACATGGATAAGTTGGCTTCTTGGAAATCTCACCTCTTCAATAGCAGCATCTTGTAGCAAAGAGCGAATGTCTAAACGTATCATATGACGGGGTGCTGTTTCCCAATGATCAGCCATCTGGAATTGGGAAATGAGAGTTGGAGCACTTTCTACAATATTCAGTATAAAGAATGCTTTGGCTACTAGGGCCAATGTGGTACCATAAAATGCAGTACCTTCAAAAAGACAAGTTTGCCTCCCCTACCCCCCAGAAGGATGAGTAATTCTTGTAGCTCTAAGAAAATGTTAGTTACCTCTGTGACTCCAAAACTTTATAAAGTTACCTTACTGATCTCCTTGAGCTTGCGTCCATGGACATTTCTCTTGCAACAAGTTTGGTTGTCTGCAGTAATTTCAGCTAGGTAGACCTAGAAAGCATGGTGTTGGGGGGGGGAGAGAATGTGCTCAGAAACATCTGATTCATCCCCAACATATTTTCCAAAGTAAGCTTAGTGAACTAAGGAGAAGGAGTGTGTGCAAATTTAAATGGAAAGGGCAAGGCTAAAAGAAAGCACGATCAGCGCCAAGGATCCATTTGGACTTATATGTGGAAAACTACTGGCCCGTGTGCTCATGCCCCTCAGTCATTTCTTGGATTTTATTGCTCTTTTCTAGAGAGGCTTTCATAGCAATTAACAACAGAACAACAAATATATTATAAAAACAAAGCACTGTAAAGGCAGCATTAAACTACGTGGCAAACTCAAAACGACAATTCCCCAGTAAACTACAGCACCTGGATCAGGAACTTTTTATTGTCTTTCTTTAGGTGGAGACAAAAAAAATGGTACTCTGATGGCAGGGAATTCCACAACTGGCTGCCAAGAGGCCATTAAGAAAGATTTAAGAGGCTACCTAACATGAAATCAGACAATTGGTCCATCTAGCTCAGAACTGTCTACCCTGACTGGCAGTGGTTTGCCAGGGTGTCAGATAGGAATAATTCCCAGCCCTACCTGCTGGTATCAGGGACTGAACCTGAAATTTTCTGGGCTCCAATCACCCCCTTAACATTCTTGGCAGTACTGTCCTTATATCCTACAGGTACCCGAGTTTGAGTTTGCCTTGGCTGCCAGTGGCCCAGTGTTAATGCTCAGGGTTGAAGGGCATGGAAAACCTGTTTTAGAGCAGCTAACAATGACAGAGATTATCCAATAATGTTTACCTCAAAACCTTTTGTTTTTGCAGCACTCCAGAACTGCTCAAAATGGCGTACTCTGTCATTAATGGCATCAAGGATGATAAAGGGGAAAAACCCATCATCCAAAGTCTTTTTGAAAGTTTTGAATAAGCTGGCACGATAGATTTCTTCCATATCAGCTTCATATTCATACTCTAAAATCTGCTCCAGAAAAAGAGAAGGTTAGCTAAAAGAAGAACAAGCCTTCTTGCTAAAATCTGAAATTCAGTTACTGCTATCACATATGCTGGTAAATATATCACATATACTGGTAAATACTACATAATAAAATTGTAAGGATGTCATCATACTGCAGTTCCCATGACTGCCAATAGATGGCCATGGGAACATTCAGGACTTCAAAGCGCAACATGGTGCTGTCTGAAAGCTCTATGCAGCCCAGCTTTCCTATCTCTGCCTCCTGTTGTCATTAAACACTACTGCAGTGGTCCATACGTAATGGAGAAGAAATATGTTGCAAAAGTTGGATCCAGACATATGCTGGAGGAAGATGGTTTTTTTAAAAAAAAAACAACAACAACAACCAATTATTCCTCCCCCCTACAGTCCCCCATGTCCTAAGAAAATATGTTCCAGAGGATTGGGAGGAAGGGCAAAGAGTTGAAAAATCACCTTTCCCCTTCATCTAGGGAGAATCTCTGTTGGATCTTAGTGCCTTCCACAAACAGAAGGATCCTTTCTGTAGTCAGATGGGATGCTATGGATCTAAGACAATGAGCTAATCAACAACTGAAATGGAGTACCTTCTTTTTAACTCTTTTCTTTGTATCAGGGTCTCTCTCTTCTTTCTCTATTTCAGTGATAAAATAGTCGTCCAGGCTGAGCACTCTGGGTGCGGCTCCTCCACATTCAACTTCCTTATCCTGGGAAGGAAGCACACAATAAATAGCCTGCATTTATGGTGCAAGTGCTTCAACTCAGAACATGCAGCACCCCCTCACAGTTAGTAAGAGGGAATTCTGTTTTCCCCTCTTCATTTCAAGTCAATCCAGCCACCTCAGTGGTACCTCGGGTTACATACGCTTCAGGTTACATACGCTTCAGGTTACAGACTCCGCTAACCCAGAAGTATTACCTCAGGTTAAGAACTTTGCTTCAGGATGAGAACAGAAATCGTGCTCCGGCGGCACAGTGGCAGCAGGAGACCCCATTAGCTAAAGTGGTGCTTCAGGTTAAGAACATTTCAGGTTAAGTACAGACCTCCGGAACGAATTAAGTACTTAACCTGAGGTACCACTGTATATATTTTAGAGCTCTGAATGATTAAATAAAGGAAACTGTACACTCAGACAGCTGGGACCAAAATGCAAGCGCGTTCCACTCTTCTGTGAAGACTGAAGATGCCAAAGAAAGCTGCTGGTTATTCACTCACCCTGATAAGCTTAGCAACATGAGTCTTTCCACTGCCTGGCAATCCTCTCATGATAATGACAATCTAAAACAAAGACAGCATAAATTAATTGTGTTATTATTTACATATTGCATTTATACACCGCCTTTCTGCCAAGGCACCCAAGGTGGTTTACACTTCTTTATTGTAACAACTTCACTGTTCTCTCACTGGGAGCTGCTGAGAGAAACATTTTGCAACCACAGAATCAACCAGGCACCACATTTCGCAGCATGAGGAATGGTAATGGTAGACCAGTCAACTCCTTTTCTTGCTTGCTACTCAATCATGGCAGCCCCTGTGTGGGGATTGCTTTCACCCTCACTGGGTAGCAAGCAAGGAGAGGGGAGATCTGGCTGTGCTTGGAGAGCAGAACTGCATCCAAATTCAGTCAAACTTTGGAAGGCATGGGAATCTGTCTGGGGAGATTACACATTACATAAACATTAGCTGAAGTGTCTATTTCTCATGCATTTTGTTATTTAAGATTAGAAAGCCACATTCACACTACTCACCCTCTCTGGTCTACTCTCCCTTCCAGGTGGCTTCAGTATATCATCCACATTTTTAGATTCTGGTTTCCTCTCTACACGAGGGGCAGGTGGTGGTTGTCGGGGTAATGATGGAGCAGAAATGGGCATTCTTTCTTCAGGGTAATTTCTGCGATCACCTTAACACGAAGTTCACACAAGAGAGAAAAACAAAATTAACTAAAATTATGCCCTGAATTAAGAGACCATTAGTTCCTAAGAGACTTCCACTTCTGTTTCCAATATGCTTTGCGGGCAATTTACTCATTAGTCTGTACATTTCATTGATTTATTTTAAAGTTAAGTTTCTAAACTGGAACAAAAACAAAGAAGAACCCCAAAAGATGGCATAGTGCAATAAAAATGAATGAATAACATTTTCCCTTCAAGCTAGAGACTTTGATACTGACTTCTTCTGTGGTTTAGGAAAGTTAATGAACCTTTGTTTCAGGAGAAAAAATGTGCTACTTTGATTTTAGCCACAAGGACAAACAAGAGAAATGATTATGAGAAAATTAATCTCTCAGAAATAGGATAAATAAAGGTGTGTTCTCATATGTACTGAATAATAGATATATTGCTTGAATTGGAACATGTATCTAAGAACATGCAAGGGTCTAATCAGGAAAGCAAATGCCAAAAAAACACATTGCAAGGCATAAGAATTTTCTATTACCATGTGTAGCACAATTTCCAAATACAACTTTGCATAATCCTTTTTTTTGGGGGGGGGGAATAGATAAAGAAAATCAAGAAATGCTTAATGTGCAGCACCTGCTTTGTACATGTGATACCACATTGGGTGATTCATGAATGAAGAAACCTAAGAGCCTGTCTGCATGAAAGTCTTACTATAAGAATTAGATAGATTATTCTTGTATATAGGACAATGGCTGCAATTCTACATGCACTTAGCTAGAAGTAAGTCACAATGAACTCAGTGGGACTTGCTTTTTAGAAAACATGCACAGGATTGCACTGTACATAATTATAATGGACTGTATCTAACGCTGGGTGAAAAGAGTTCTACTTGTGTAACAGGACTTCCTTCCTCTCCTTTCATTGTGCACCCCCAAAATCTTCTCCAGAGGGTCCCCCAATCCCTATAGCAGAATTTGAGGGTGCATGGGAAGATTGCAGGGGAGAAGAGGTGAGGGAAGTTCTGTTGCACAAGAGGACGTTTACTGCATGAACAAAGCAGTGTATTGGATGAAGCCCAGTATCTATTCAGTACATGCAAAGGCTTCGAATACTGAAAATACTGAGTCTCAAACTTCATAGTTATTGCTTAAGGCAGGGAAGGGGAACCTGTGGCCTTCTGATGTTGTTGGACTCAAACTCCTAGGATTCCACACTAGCCTGGCCAATAATCAGACAGACCGAACACAGTTCATTATTTATTACAGATGTAGCTATACTGCCCTTCAATCAAATTCCTGGGGTGCTTCACATAAAAAAGTTCCATTACATTGTAATGCAAATATGATTATCCTTAAAACCCCTCTCTTTAAACCAAGGAGGGTCAAATATATAAATGCAACTTCAATCACTGATAATACTTTTATCCTTAATTATAAGGAAGAAGTAAGCGAGTTCATAGTCCCAAATTCATTCTGAGACCTCAATATTCTAATATTTCTTCAAGGTTGAAGATTTATACCTCCAAACATCGGAGGCCCATGATCATAAGGTGGACGATCAGGTTTTCTTTCATATGATTGTCTTTCAAATCCTCCCCGTCTTGAGTTTGAATGGTCTTTGTCACGAAAGGACTGAGCTCTTGAAGGAGATGGCCTGCTAAATGAAGACAGCATATTGTAACACAAACTGCATGGTTTCTTTGAATATTACACATTTAACAAAAATGTACATGAGATTCTCTGATAAACCAATTCCTGGCCAATCCTATACTTTGCTGCTGGATGCAATGACTATCCTTTATTAAGCCCACACCAAGTAATATATCCCTGTATGAAACAGTTACAATCTCAGCCGTACACCTTTCAACCAAGAGGGGAAGAAAAGTTTAAATGTCTGTCCTCCCATGGTATATGCTCACAAGGCTGCAGCTCACAAGCAGGACACAACAGTGCTCACTTCACTTGTGATTCCCAGCAACTGGTATGCATACGCCCTCTGAGTGTGGAAGTAGAACAAGATACTCCCATGTACAAAAATCAAAAAGAGAAGTGACAGTTCAAAAACTCAGCACCGCAACCTGTCTGAAAACACACTTCTGAATCCTACTTATTCCTCCTATGTTACATACCTGTCATCTCGTTGATAGCGTTCTTTGTCAAATCTTTCCCGTTCATGTTCTCCAGAAATACGGTCCCTGTATGGCTCTCTCTCTCGCCTGAAGTCTCTGTGATCAATATTGGCATTATTTTGCCGCTCAAAATAAGCATCTCTTTCCTTGAGATATCGTTCCCGTTGGCCTGGATGTTCTGGAAAATGAAATCAAAATAATTTTAAGAGTTATTCTACAGGATCGCAGAATGAGGTAGAAGCATCAAGTAGCAAATTTCTTGGGTTGAACTACTTGACTACAGCAAGGGATTGCATGTTTGAATGTTCCTTCATTTTAAACACGCCATTCAAGACAAAACACAACAACAAGGAGAAGGCTATTCTAAATCTCTCTTCCCCAACGTGCTAGTTTTCTACGTACAGGGAGCTTTTTATATGTGGGGGCATTCCGCCCTACCTTCAGTCTGGTACAGTCTTGAATTCTGCCACCTCAGTCTACATCAGCCGTCCTCAACCTGGTGCCCCAATAACCATGGCCAATAGGAATTATAGATGAAAACATCTGGAGTGCATCAGGTTGGGAATGGGGATGGCTGTTGTTCTTCATAGTATCTAGAACAACTCTTTTGAATATTTACAAGAATTCAAGACATGGCGAAAGCCATATTGCTTTAAAAAGGAGGTGGAATGTGTGTATGTTTTAACAAGGAACCTACCAAATATCAAACTGATGCCTGCCTTCTACTTAAAAGAGACATCTCAGAGACACCAAAGTACACCCACCTTTTGAAAAGGGCTGCCTCTCATGAGGAGCTTCTGGACGCAGAGTTATACGCTCCCCATAAGGAATTTGTCCACCTTTACTGGTTATATCTGTCAAATACAAATTAGCAATAATAAAATTAAGAGATTGCCCCAGATACCATCTTCGAATAAATGCATTCAGACCATCACCAGCAGCTTGAACATCTTGGAGGCTGGGGAAGAAGATTTACCATCCGTGCCCTCCCCAGCATTTCCCTTTGGCTTTTGTCAATCTCTGCAGGATGAATGATGATGGTAAGGTAAAGGTAAAGGTACCCCTGCCCGTACGGGCCAGTCTTGACAGACTATGGGGTTGTGCGCCCATCTCACTCAAGAGGCCGGGGGCCAGCGCTGTCTGGAGACACTTCCGGGTCACGTGGCCAGCGTGACAAAGCTGCATTTGGCGAGCCAGCGCAGCACACGGAACGCCATTTACCTTCCCGCTGGTAAGCGGTCCCTATTTATCTACTTGCACCCGGGGGTGCTTTCGAACTGCTAGGTTGGCAGGCGCTGGGACCGAGCAGCGGGAGCGCACCCCGCCGTGGGGATTCGAACCGCTGACCTTTCGATCGGCAAGCCCTAGGCGCTGAGGCTTTTACCCACAGCGCCAGCCGCGTCCATACATGATGATGGTAGTCGGCTGCAAGCCATCTAGCCTGGTGAGGAAACCCCTCCCACTCTGAACTGCATTTATTAAGCCCTTGGAATGCAGTAAGACTGGATCCAAGAACTGGAACTTTATTGTCAGTTAACTTTTTTTTGTTTTGTTCTGTAATGTATTTACGTCCAGCTTAATTCTTTTGCAGTACTGAATTTATTCTGTTTGCTGAATTGTTGGTTTTTGTCCTATTTGAATGTATCAATATGTTTTGAATACTGCTTCTCTCCATCTTGCCCCATTAATGTTTTGTAGTCTGAAAATAAGTGGATGCCTCTTATAATTTGGTTGGGTGGGCACAACTTGGTGTAGAAAGGCAACTAAAAATAAATTAAGCCAAACTAAATCAGCCAACCAATAAGTGTCATTTCTTCAACAAAGACATTAGCTCGAGGGACAATAACAGGAAACAGCTGCCTTTTTTGTTTTAAAGAAGAGCTGCATAAATTGCTTAGTCATCAAACAGCATTTGCCACAATGTGGTACTGTGCATTACTTACAAAGCTGTAATTAAATTAAAAACAGGCATTCCCCAGCTAAAGCTCTCATGAGAAAAATACCACAGGGAGAAAAACTAGCAATGCTGTAATTTATTGATGGCTAATTGTTTTGTTTCCAAAAAACAAAATAACAGATGCCAATAAGGAACCTTAAGTAGAAACGCACAAAAAAATCACAAAACTGGTTTTGATTAGTGGGTCCCCCACTTAATCAAATCTTGCTGCAAGGAGGAACTGGCGTGTTTTGATATAGCAGCAACCTGACACAACAGTGTATGTTTCAACATAACATAACAAAAGCATTAAAAAAGCAGAACTGCCTCCCTCAATCATTCCAATGTCAAACCAGTCCAGTATTCTGTTTCCACACTGTTCATATTTTTATGAACCTCCACCATGTTATCTTTTCTCTAAACATTTTAGCCTGAAATGTTTTAGCTATTCCTTACACGGAAGGTGCTTATTACGTTTTGTGAACCATTCAGACATACAATCAGTTTATGAATACCTAGGTAGCAACCAATGTTACCAATATCTTCTCCTTTACATCATATTCTTGCAGTGAAATGGCAAGTTCAGACTGAACAATGGCAGTTATAGAGGCTGCAAATTGGCAGTTTATTATTTATCTGCATAAGGCCCAAAGTATTATTTGTTATTTCTATTGATTAGCCATCTCATAACACAAATACTCTAGATCATATTCTGTATAGGAAGGAATAAAACAAGAGCTCTTTCTCATTCTAGTTCATAGACAGGCTAGACGATTTAAGGATCAGGGAATCAGACCTAACAAAAATTTCTCTATTAAATTATCAACGTAAAGATGCCCTAAAGGGTCCATTTTTAATGCATAGAATGTAGACCAGCACACTCCTCTGATGAGAATTGTATTGGCTATTTTTTTTTTTATGCTACAGGCATAATCATTCTGTTAATTAGCATTATTAAGATAAACAGTATTCACCTTGCCCATGGCCGTGTCCATGCCCGTAGTCAACAGTCTGATGAATAATTGGTGGCTTGGAAAGTTGTGCTATACCCGACCCAAAGGAAGTTGCGACTGTCGATGAAGGTAATGAAAGATCTGATGCAGGTAAGTCATTCTCTGATTTTAACCCTTTATCTTCACTGCTATCCCAAAGTCCCTGGAAAGAATCCTCATCCCAACGTTCTTGGCTCATGGCAGGTGATGATTTGACCATAGCAGCTGGACCTTGAGAGGCTGCTGCAGCTGAAATGGGAATTGGAGTACTTGGCTTTGTTGGTGGACCAGGCATTTTTACCGATGGGAGGGGGCCCTTTGTTGCTGGGACAGATGGCTTTGCAAGTGCAGCGCCTGGCTTGGCTGCTGGGGCAGCTTTCCGAAACATGACGGGTGGCTTTACTATTACAGCTGGCGTAGGCTTAATAGATTGCTCCTCTATTGGTATCTCAGCGTGCATTTCAGAAGAGGCCTAAATAAAAGGATATTTTAAAATAAAAGGTACATGAAATTAACAGCAATTTTAAAAATGTTGTCAGATACTGTCATAGCAAATGTGTACTTTGATACTTAAAACAGGCCTTTTGGGGTACAACATCGATGAAAGGGTACAAAGAAAAGGCTAATTCTTTTTTTTAAGGTGGTTACATGGAATTTACAATATTGAAACTTATCATAAGGAATTTGTATACAACTTGTGTCTGTTGCTGCCTTAGCAATCCCAGTTGCCCAATGCGCCTTCTCATCTAAAGTTCTTTTGTGGCCAGGTCAAGTTTTGTAAATCACCCAAATGTGGAGCAGCCATAGCAGTGAAAACAAAATATGACAAAACACAGCTACAGATAAAGTTGCGGCTACCTGGTGGTGATATGTGGTAAATATTATAAAAGTGTTGTTTTGCTTGCCATGAAGCAGTGGTAAGTCATTACTTCCTCCACATGGTTGTGTCTTTGAGATTTCTCTAAGTAGAGAAATTTACAAATGTTTGATCCAGCCCTCAGTTAATAAGGAGTGCTTTTTCTTAGCTACATTTGACAGGCACCCAGTAACTCCCATCCATGTTTTGATAATCTCAGGGATCAGCTGCTCTAGCATGCTCTATGTGGGGCCACCCTTTAATGCAGTGGAAAACTTGCCACCAGTAGAAACGAAGTGGCCCAGCCGAATTCAAAATGATGGTGATTTCCTAAAGTTCTATATAGTCCAAATCCAGTACATCTTTGGGAGACCCTGCTCCTAGACGTTCCCTTGTCTCCTGAAATTTGCAGGAAAGGTGCACTGGAATCACAGTGAGAGTTACGAGGATGAAGATCTGATTTCTTCATAATGATGCCTCATTTTCAAGAAAGACCTGCTGCAGAACCACTGCTGCCTCCAACCAGAGATACAGAGCATAGTCATAATGACTGGTAACTAGTCTGGAGGGGTGGGGAAGCAAGCTCAAGCATAAGTTCTTAAAAGCTTCCATTTAAAAACCATTTTTAAAAAGACATATACAAAAAAAAGTGCATCACAGTAAAGTCACACTCGCACAATATTTTCCATAGCAAGACTTAATTTACCTGAAAGTTATCCTTCCTAGCTCTAGGAATTTCCTGTGGTGGCAGTTCAGGAACAAATTCATTCATCTTCTTCATATGTTCTTTCTGTTCTCTGCAGTCAAAAAATCATATTATTCATCTTAAATGTTCTTTTGAAAACCACAAAAAGTATATGCATTTGTCTTAAACAAGATTTTAAGAACCACCAGGTTTACTTATGTTCATCTGTGGCACCAACACTGTGGAACGCCCTCTCTAAGGAGGCCTGCTAGGCTGAGAAGCTAGTGAATTTTAAGCAACAAACTAAAATTGGCTACTTTGTAAAACATTTAGACTAGTATTTCCAAAACTTTACACCCCAATCCACCTGGAGCACTTGAAAATTGCTGAGCATCTTGCTGGACCACTTAATTATTGTTCTGCCTATTGTCACAATTGTAATGCACTGTGAAATATTATGTATGCTTCTAAATTGTGTTCTTAAAGGTAAAGGTAAAGGTACCCCTGCCCATACGGGCCAGTCGTGTCCGACTCTAGGGTTGTGCACCCATCTCACTTAAGAGGCCGGGGGCCAGCGCTGTCCGGAGACACTTCCGGGTCACGTGGCCAGCGTGACAAAGCTGCATCTGGCGAGCCAGCGCAGCACACGGAAACGCCGTTTACCTTCCCGCCGGTAAGCGGTCCCTATTTATCTACTTGCACCCAGGGGTGCTTTTGAACTGCTAGGTTGGCAGGCGCTGGGACCGAGCAACGGGAGCGCACCCCACCGCGGGGATTCGAAACGCCGACCTTTCGATCGGCAAGTCCTAGGCACTGAGGCTTTAACCCACAGCGCCTCCCGCGTCCCAAATTGTGTTCTTATTGTTTCTTATATAATATTTTATTGTACTACAACTTGAATTTTATGGAACTGATCTGCCCTTAAATATTTTTCATCTCGTTTTGCTTGGCAGTTTGGAATTTTAGGGTTTTGGCAGGTTTTTTCTGCTTCAGTTGATTCTTTTTAGTGCATTTTGATTTGTTGCTATATTGTTTTACTATAGTACCGTTAGCCACTTTAGGCTGTCATTTGACAAGCAGGGCAGACTTATAAAACACAAATGTTTCCAACAAAATGTAACACTTTTCTCAGTGCCAAAAACGAACACTTGATCCTTCACAGAGAGCATTTAGCTCCCAAGGTACATTTCTTTTTCACACCAGCTCAAATCTCATTGCAATTTCTGAGGATATCATTTTGGTGTTGAGAGAATTCAAGCCTTTGTGATCAGAATTCTCACATATTCCAAAAGGACGTCTGCAGACCACTTTCCTAGTTCAGTAAATGGCAAAACACACCACTGTTGACAACAAGAACTAGCAACAGAGATTTTTCTACATATCAATGGAAGCTGCCTTGTACTGACCGGCAGTGGTTCTCCAGGGTTTCCCAGCCCCGCCCAGAGATGCCAGGGATTGAACCTTGGACCTCTGCATGCTCTAGCACTTGTTCCTGTCTCAGAGTTATAAATGTCACATCATATGCACTGCTTGAAAATCTAGATTTGATGTATCCATGGAGTGCAGTGTAATATGACTGCCTGACAACTTTACACAAGAGTAACTTAAAACCAAGCACAACAAAATGTGAAGTGCCCTCCTTTAAGGCAGTATTAGTGTGAGTGGACTTTGTACCTCTTCATGTGAACTGACAGACAATGCTGGGCCTTTTGTTTTCACTGGCTCCCTTTTCTGAATTTCTTAAAAATACTGCAGGTCTGCATGAACAAGGTTCTCCTGCCTGAATATTTACTACTCAGTTTTAAGGATAAGCGTGATCACCGCCAGCTATGTTATTTGACTTTTTTCTAGCATAGGTATGCTATGCGCAGAACTGTTCTTGATTCTATGGGAGGTTCTTCAACATTAAAAAAACACCTATTTTAACTTCATTAGTTTAAGACTGATAAAAAGTGCTGTTTAAAGCATAGTTATCTCAATGACCCTTGACTTATTAAACTTGCATACCCTTCCATCATCTAAGCTGACCAAAATGTTCACAGCTATTTACCACCTAATTATATGTATTTTTGCAATTTGCAAGAGGGAATGGAAGGCGGAGGGGAGATGAAAAAGCAGGTTTTTCCAAAGCCAAATAAACAAGAACAGCAGCCAACTCACCGTAGCATTTTTAGCTCTTGGGCAGCCTTCAGGATTATTTCATGTTGCCTTTGACTAAGGACCATTACACCTCCCAACGATGGCTCAGAGGCTAAATTTGGCTCGTCTCCCAGCAATTCAGATGAGCGTGGTGGCAGAGGTGGTGGATCCAGACGATCATCTAAACGTGGGAATCTGTCGATTTCATCTGAATACCACCTATCTGAAAATCTTTCCCTTTCCCAATCACCCCTGTCGGGTGGGAAATCAGATGGTTCCCTCCATGTGTCATGTCTCTCTGGATACTCTCGAATTCTGAGCTCCCCCCGGTCTCTGGAATCTCTGTCGTAGAAATCCCTCTCTCTCTCCTCCAGCCATCGCTCCTCACGGTATCTGTCTAAAGGAGGAAGTGGAGGAAGGGGTGGCAAAGGTGGGAGAGGAGGTATGTCCAGATCACTAAGCGTATCTCTGTCGCCCAGTGGTCTAAGGTAATCTCTGTCCCAGTCTCTTTCTGAATCACGATCATACATATCCAAGGGTCTTCGGACCCTGTCCAGATCTCTGTCTAGCTCTCTCTCTCTCCCCAATGGCCTTTCCCAGTCATCCCAATATGGTTCTCGTCTATCAAGATCAGCAGATATTGGAGGTAAAGGAGGTAGAGGGGGAAGAGGTGAAAGAGGTGGCAATGGATGACGGTGTGCTGACATGTCATCTCTCTCATATGGATCAAGAGGATCATCATGGTATCGCTGGTCGCGCTCAACCCAGTATCTGTCTCTTTCCCAATCCTCCAATCGTCTGCGCTCTAGAGGAGGAATATCTTGGTATTCAAATGAGCGCTCCTCTTCCATGCCTGCCTCTCCGTAAGACCATGGAGGCCTGGGTGGTTCTTCACGAAATGGAGGCAAGTTATCCATACCACCTCCAAGGCCTGCGTCACGTCTGTGCATATCCCTCTCCCGGCTACTAGGTCGCCGTCCTGGTCCCCTTTCACGGTTACCAGCCAGCCGGTCCAGTCCCCTTTCCTGACTACTGGGGTTGCCTGCCTAAGCCCCTTTTCCCGGCAATCTGCATGGCCCTCTGCTGCCCATCTGGGGAGCTGGTTCCCTGTCTCTAGCTGGTAACCCTCTGTCTTGGCTTCTCGATTGCCTTTCCAATGCCCCTTCCTGGTTGCTCGACTGTCCACCCATCCCAGATTCCCCAACTGCCCGACTGGCCCTCTGGCATCCTGTTGTGGGTTCCTGGCCCACTGTTTACATCTCTGCCACCCATATCTCTGGTCAGACCTCTACCTCTGTTTGGTACTCCCCTTCCTCTGGCATCATCAAATCGGCCTCGGCCCCTACCTCTATTGTCTTCCATTCTACCCTGGCCCCTGCCCCGGCCTGCCTGGCCCTTTGGCCTGGTTATCTCCCAGCTTGATTTGTCCCCTCTCCCGGCTTTCCCAGTTTAGGTGGCTCCTTGCTCTGATTATTTCAGAAGAAGTCAGTTTGTTTTCTGCAGAATTCAACTCTTTATTTCCCATCGGCGCTGGTAGTAACATTTCTTCCCCCCTGGTACAGTGGAACCTGGTGTCTGATGGAGAACACCCGAAGTAAAGAGGTTTTTTTGATTCTTCTGTTTGCAGTTCAGCCTCCGCAGAGCTTGGTTTCTTTGTTTCTGACATTGTTTCTCTGCCCTCTTTTCTGGATGAATTTTGCTGTGCTTTACACATGACTGTACCTGGCTGAACAGAACTAGTAACCTTTGTATCTGGTCTAGGTTTAGATTTATTTCCACTGTCTGATTATTGCTCATATCAGTAAAAGTTTCCTTATGTTCTGTCTGATGGTTCTGTTGTCCCAAAGGAGGCCTAGGCCCCCGCCACCGTGGTCCACTTGCTTGGGAAGCCTGCATTTGTGAAGTGCCTGAGGAAGTATAAAATGCTGCTGCTGGGCCCCGGGGGATTGTCCCCTGTTTGCCTGAAGATCCATCGACAAGCTTGATTTTGAAATCTTGGCCTTGGACCATCGAAACGTTGCCCTTGAAAATGAGGTCCTTGCTGTCTTGCAGGTTCAAATTTATCGAAAGTCTCTTCCTCGTGGTGCCATCAAATCTGTGTATTTAGAAATGAGACGTTTTATTCAAGTAGGAGATTTCGTGAGACTTTTTACATAAAACAACTCCATAAATCTCTTGAAAACAGCTGCCAAATTAAAATCTCATTAAGTAATAACGATACACAAAATTAACCAAAATATTAGATTTGCTGCATGCGAATGGAACATGGCAGAAACAAGTATTGGATTCACCCATATCTATGCTCATCTTCTCCAAGAAGAAGAAGAAGAAGAGTTTGGATTTGATATCCCGCTTTATCACTACCTGAAGGAGTCTCAAAGTGGCTAACATTCTCCTTTCCCTTCCTCCCCCACAACAAACACTCTGTGAGGTGAGTGGGGCTGAGAGACTTCAGAGAAGTGTGACTAGCCCAAGGTCACCCAGCAGCTGCATGTGGAGGAGCAGAGACGCGAACCCGGTTCCCCAGATTATGAGTCTATCGCTCTTAACCACTACACCACACTGGCTCCACCTCTTCCTTAGATAGAAAGGAATATCTGAGTCAAGGG